ATTTAATATTCGTTGATTATCAATTTTTCATTTAACGATATTGTGTTCACTTAACTTAACTTCAGTTAATTATTTTCATTAATATTCCCACCTTTGTTGAATAGTGCTTGTTAAATATCAGCAACATCCCCTCTCTCAATCCACACAAAACAAAATAATTTAACCACCAATATTCATAATAGTGATAAAGTGATACCATCATGACGTTGATATAGTAAAATATAAAACACCGTACGCAGTTCGTAGTTATGCAATTATATTCACTGGAGTGGTAATGAGTTGTTTGTGGTTTTTTTTTTTGGGGGGGGGGGGGGGGCAATAAACCTAGACGAAACAACAGTAATGCTATGATATAAAAGCGGACAGTGAACGCCGTGAACGCCACCTTGCAAATATATATGTATCAATTAAGTTAGGGTATAAGGGGTGGTCCATTTCACATATATAACGTTTTTGAAAATACTTCTTCAACAAAATTTTAAGTCGTTATAAATCGACATTTTCGGAAAAAAAATTATATTTTTAACTTAAATATCGTTATAATTGTATAGGTTATCACTTTTTTATACTATACATGTTCTGAGGCAGAATATTATTCGAAATGTTTCGATCTATAATAATCAAATTTTAAGTAGTATCAAGTAGTTTATTAGTTAAAATTATTTTAACTTTAGATAAGGGGGGTAGTGGATCAATATTATACAGTGTAGGTACCGCTATATATCAATATACTCTACTCGTCTAAACTTTAAATATTTAAAATTCATAAGCTACTCGTCTAAAATTCAATTTCTATGAAACTACCTACTACAAAGTATATTCTGCTGTGGAATAAGCAATTAAAAATGAAAATTTCATTTAAAAAAGCTCGAACACTTGAATGATAAGAATAAGAAATATTATATGATTCTATAGAAAATATTTTGTTTTTATTTTAAACGAAATATTCTCAAAAACGTTAATAGTTTTTAAAACATCGATAGTGTCTTACGGATCTCTCAGTATACAGGCGTGGTCGGGTACCCACCCTCGGCACGCGACCCACTGACGAACTCACACAACTCGATGAGTTAAAAACTGAAGGGACGCGGTCGCAGGCTGAAGACGTTTACCGACTAAAACAGGTACGACAATCGAAGTGGACGGTACAGCTATAGGTACAGTGTATTTTTGGTCGAAGACGTTGAAGTACGTGTCGAATTGGCGCCGCACTTGCCCACCGTCGTTTTTGTTTCGCGTTTTACATCCCTGTCGGGACGGCGGCAGCGGTGGCGGTGGCGTTCATTGTTCAGTATCCCTCCGATGCGACACCGAGCTTAACGCTCGACACGCCGGCGGACGATTCGCTTAAAAACCGTTGACGTGAAATTTGTTTGTGCACGAACCCGTCGCTGTTATTACTATTCGAGTAGTCGTTGTACAGTTGTCATAAAAATACGAAAAAAAAAAAAAATTAAATAAAAAAAAAAAAACTAAATTCTGGAAGTGCGTTTTCCGCAAAACGTTGCTGACCGGCTCTGTTGCCCCGGCAGAGGTTATCAGTGGCATTATTGCTGTTGCTGGTACGTGAAAGGCCACATTCACACGATTACACGATTACAGGTACATAATAAACGCTGCAACAGGATACGCACACGTCCTGCGTCGCGACTAGGTGTTGCACAATCCAAACAAATTTCGTTTGACGGCTTATAAGTACATTCAACTTTTGGTTATTTCTGAGGGATAGATAACGTCATTCTGGAATAGACAATTTAATTTTAAGAGGTGTTTTTGTAATTGTTATATTTTTTTTGTTATGACGTGGTATAAGCTGATGAAATGAAATTCCAGAAAATAAATATTATTAAGTCTACCTTATCTTTTTTTGCTGAAATTAAGAATCACGCAATGTATCGGTTGATTATTTAAATTCATGAAATATTTAGAAAATTAAACTTATATTAGTTATTTACTTAGGAGTGAATTATTAGTAAAACTGTGTTCAAGCTTTCAAAGGCGCCTATATTAAAAATATATTATTTAGTACATTCAGTACATTAATTTATGTATATAGGTGCATACATTTGTACATTCTAACAGACTTGTAATATACTTGTAGAATAAAAGTGAACAATGATATGTGAATACTTTGAAGTACTCAAATACGTAAATTATCATTTTAATACATATTTGGGCGTAGTACCCACCTACGTATTTTAAATACTTCTTTACGCCTGGCAATGTCTCTAAGATCTGTAATAAGTGTATTTTTAAAATCAAATACTAACTTTAAAATATTATGTACCTACTTTCTTACATTATTTTTAATATTACCTACAACAAGTGATTAGAAATGTTTAGAAATATTTAAAATGATTTGGAAAACAATGTTTCTAAACTCAATTCTGCATTAAATTTGTAAAAACATATTTAAATTCAACATATTATTATTATACTAAAGTATTGGTATCATGTGAAAATGCTTAAAATAGGTATTTTAAGTCCAATCAGTTGTCACAAACAGGCAAAACGACCGGTCCTTTTAAGTAAAGTCGGTACATTCTGGTCCACCGAACACACCCATTAAACATAGCTTGTAAGTTAGTTTTTACTAAATGGTAGACCGACATAAGTAGTTTGAAAATATTCTTTTAAATATATACTTCAAATCATAATTTTTTGATTTGTATTTCCTACCATGATTTTATAGTATAAAAAATCACCGAGAATGAGTTGAGATACATCCAACACCACATAATATGTTTATCATTAAACTCATAATATTATAAGTTAAAATAATAAGTTGTAGGTACTTGTAATATTATAAAATTTACAAGCTAAAATGTGTACCCTAAGGACATAATATTATTATGAACATGCGTAATGCATAAAATACTTGTATTTTATAAGAAAAACAACCACTCGTTATTGACCCATTCAACCTACTTTTGTTATATTTTTTGTTTGCTTAAAGAAAATATTAGGATTGGGTACATAATTGATTATTATTTATACTATTTTACAAGGAAAATGTTTTTCATTGTTTTATGTTTCTGTATACTATTAACATAGCACACAATATATAAAACACAATAGGTACTCTACACTATCTACAGTGACTGTAGACTACTGTAGACTCTAAACTAGAATATATAATATATATTGATACATAAATAATCAAACTCTCATATAGTTGTGGTTACCACTTACCAGTCACAGCTAATTGTTAGTCAGTAACATTTAAACTGTCTAATTATTTTCAGAATATCAATGCATTTTAGATGTGACAAGTTAAATTATTTCTTCCATAAATGATAAATGTAAATTCTGAGAGAGACATATTTTAGTTGTCAGAGAATGATAATATGCTTAGTTAAAACTTAAAATGCTTTTAATGTTTATAAATTCATAACAAGTTAGTAAGTAGTATATTACTATATTATCTATAATACAAAACAGTTAAATTCACTCACAGACACATTTATAATATTATTATTATTAACTTTTATTCATTTGGTTGTGACAACTGATATAATCATAATAATATAGGGAAAAGGTAAATATATTATGGTGTATCATGCCATAGAAGTAATATTATAAAATAAAATAATAGTTTTCAATGATTTATAAAGATACAATATATATTATATTCTAATTTTAAAATAGAACATTGCTGTGTTTTTAAAACAAGTTATGACAATTTATTAATGCACCAATTGAGTGTGTTTAAATGTGTATTATTACACTATTAGGTAAAGATATTTTATTCAATTATGCCAATGTGCAAAATCAAATCAATATTGAATTTAAGCTGAATTTAGCATAGAATTAACTTAAAAGCACCTCAGAAAATTACTAAAAATATTTAGAGAAAATGTATAAGAGTTATAATTTTAACAAATGTTTCAATTAATTAAAAATGTATTTTACATATTGCAGTGTAATATAAACCAGTTTCTATAGTAGAAAATTGTATTGTTAGTGGGCAAAAATTATTCAACCAATTATTATCTGTGGATGCATTTTAATCCTTCAATCAATTTAAGTACTGGTTGAAATTTAAGAACCATCGTAGAAGTATTTATTTTATTATTGCATATATTAATAAATAATAATTATTCATATTAGCCCCGCGTTATAAATTAATACTATGAGTCGAGACACCTATATTATTATTATTACTATTTATTTTATAGTACCAAAATAATTCAAAATGTATGTATGCAGGAACACGCAATGCGCACATTATATCTTGAATATACGGTGACCACTTGTTTAATTCTATGTGTTGTTTTTTTTGTAACGCAACTAATTGTAGTTATAATATTATAACTATTTTTATTTTTACATTTGTATTATTCCATTTTATTTTTTATTGCGAGATTAACACGTAGTTGTATATTACAGAGATTACAAAACCTTATATTTTATAATCTATAAAAGTTGTAAAATAAGATCACATCATTTATCCAATATTATAATCAAAGTACCACTTTACATTTTTTTACCATGTAAGTTTGTGGTAAATTATTTCAACCATATTTGTATTATATTAATGATATGTTGTTAAGTATATACTATTATACTGTCCTATTTAAATCTTATTTATTGAATAATAATTACGAAAAAAAAATAATTATTTACATTTTTAATGAATCCAAAATAAAATTTCCTGTTTTCGCTGTGTTTACAGAAATTATTGTTTTAATTGGTTTTCGCATGACATGTGCGGCAATAGTCTACTATACTCTAATATTTTATGATAGTTATATTTATAATTATTTAAATAATTTCAAGTTGCAAACACATTTATAATGCCTTATTTCATTTAAAATTCAAAAAGTATGACTATTTTACGTTTCAGACGCGTAGACAGCGTTTCTTAAAGGCCTGTGATTTAATTTGATATTCAGTTACAATTAAGTGATGGGACCTGTTCAACATTTAATAACTGATGACGAACATTTCTACATATTTTTAAACAATATTTGTTTATGATTTGATTTGTATAGGTAGGTTAAGGGTAGCAAATAAAAACTATGATTGGCATAGAATAATGTAAAGTTAATAAACCAATTTAAATTTGTAAAAGACTTAATCAAATATTTTACATACAATTACAGATCAAAATTAAATAAAAATTCAATTTAACTGAATATCTTTAGTCGTATAAATCTCAAATTAGTTTGGTATTTTCAGAGTATTATGAGAAATTCGCAGAAATTATTTACCTTATTTTTATTTCTGAACTCAGTCAATTATAGGTATTGTTTTTCCTTATTTATATTAAATAGGTAGTTATAAAAAAAAACGACTACCTATTCATTTAAACTAACCTTGACAGTGGAAGATTTGAAGATAACCGTGAAATTGTTTGTTTCAAATTGTTAAAATATATTTTTGATTATTTTACGTGTCTGTAGTCATGATTCACGATATTCCAAGGTCAATATAGTACTACACCCAGTACAGGTGCGTATTTTGTATACTCTTTTTGGTAGATTTCCTTTTTTTGTTTGAAGACAATAATTTTTTTTATTGAAATATTAAGTTCACTGTACCTACGGCTACACTCTATTTTAAGAAAACAAAGTTCGAAACTGATAGTCGATCTCATATCATTGATTTATTCTCTGGTATAACTACATTAATAATGTGTTCCATATTTTCATTCAAAAGCGTGCACTAACCGTTATTACAGATTACGTACATAATAAACCTCTTTTTAAAGTTTAAACATTTATTTTTAAATTTAAATTTAATCTTATTTAAAGAACACTATAGTTGTAATATATTTTAGAAGGAAATATATGTTACTTTAAGAATGAAAAGTTTGAATATTATATATAGTGTAACACACTAATAGACAAATTACTGAATTCATACTTAATTTGATGTACAATTAATAATTTTGAAAACCTATAAAAATATATTCACCGAGTCTATTGTAAAAAAAAATATGACTTCTTTCCAAGTCTCACATAGTCACCCGTATTTACTATGAACATTTAATCATTAAGAAATATTTATTTATCGATGCAATCTTCATATAAAATGTTTAATATTTTGTAATTTATTATTTTTGTTAGTTATCAAAATCACTATCATCATAATTTTAAATAAAATAAAATATAAATATTTATTTTAACTTACGTAAATATAAAAAAGTTTATACATACTTTTCTCTTTGTTTTGTAGTTTTCTGTATTTAACATAAACGAATTTTCTACTTGGGTAAATTGCATACCTTTTGAAGTACCTACTATATAAAAATGTTTTAATATAAAAATGTGATAAAAAATGTTTGCCATGATTAAAGAAAACCTCTTACTGTAAGAACTATAAGAATTTAAAAATGATAGATACGTTTAAGCGTGTATTCTTACAGTACTGGAATGTTGTTATTTTAAGCGTTGAGACAGTTCTTTTTTTTAAGTGATTTATTTAAGTATTATAAAATGTTGCACGAATGTATTGTATCTTCAACTGAAGATAATAATTTGAAAATAATAATTGTTCTAGTTTCCGAATTATAACTGAATTTTGGCTGTGTATCTGAAACTAGGTAACCTCCTAAACTCACTCAATGAAAAAAATGATCAGAATATTAGCTTTGATGA